GGGGGGGGGGAAACTAAAATCTCAAAATTGCTGCCCCGGGTTTTATAAAGCCTATGAAGCTGGTTAGTCTGGTGATCTTGAAGGCAAGGAACATTTTTGTTTTCCTTTTTCCAAGCCTCCAAAGCACCCTGTTAGACATGGTAAAGCTGCTGAATACTACTTGTTGGATTGAACTCAATTATATTGTTCTCTGTATGAGATTGACTCCTCTTTACTGAGACCAATGGCCCTTTTCTGGGTTTGCATTTGCAGCGAGCCCTAAGCCTCAGGTTGGCCAGTTCCCTCTGTCTTCCAGTGGCTGAAGACCTGCACTGGCAGCCCAGCGTTCAGGAAGGATGATGGGACAGCTGTGGATGAAACCCCAAGGCCCTCAGAGCAGCTCTGTCCCCGTCTAGATCTTCCCCCCACAACACTACCTCTTCACGTCTGCCTTGACTTCTAAAGCCCGGTGTCAACATCTTCCTCCACTTTCTTCTTCCCTCTTCCGTGCCTCATTCCAACCGCCTCTCCTTCGTCTTGACCCCACGGCTGTAAGCGCGGTTGATTGAGATGAGAAAGATGCCTAAGAAAGAGACAGGTCCGTACCTGAGGTTCATGTCGCCGTCAACCAGCAGGGACATAAGGTTGGAGAGGTTCCCGCCGGGACAGCAGCCACACAGGAGCACCGCCACGGCGGCTACCTCGTCCAGCGAGAAGACGAGCGCCAGCAGGAAGGCCAGCAGCGGCAGGAAGCCGAACTGGCAGAGCGCGGCCAGCAGCGCGCCCACGGGCCGCCGGACGTGCGCCCCGAAGTGGTTCACGTCCACGGTGCAGCCCAGGCCCAGCATGGTGATGCACAGGGCGGCGCCCACGAACACGTTCAGCCCGTGGCTGAGCGGCGTGTCCCAGAACGGGGGCTCGTGAGGATCCCAGGGCCGAGGGAACGGGGAAGCGCCCAGGCGAACCCAATCGCTGCCCGCGATGCTGCCGGTCGTCGGCTCCGGAGTCGGAGTGGGGCCTGGGCTGAAACTGACACTGGGACCCGGCCCGAGACTGAGCCCGGGACTGGGGCTCGCGTGGGAGGCGGGAGTGACAGGGAAGTCAGAGCTGGGGCTCAGGCTGCTGGCATTGGGCAACAGGGTGTAGTTGTCCGGCTGCAGAGAGGACGCGGGGAAAGGCAGGGTGGTATTGTCCGTGTCGACCATGGCGCTGTCTGCAGGAGGCTTCAGGTCTGGCTCCGGCCCCCGCTGCGGATTTCGGTTCTCTCCCTCCGGGCGCGCCCCCCTCCCTTCAGTCGCCGCCGCTGTCCGTCGGTGAGTCCCTCAGTCCGCTTCCCAGGCCCGGCTGAGCTCCGCTGATGTCTCCGTGGCGTCGGGTGCGGCGCGTAGGTCCTTGGCTCCGCTCGGGGTTTGGCCGACGCCCGCTGTCTGCCACTTAAGACAGCGCAGCCCCCAAGGGTGAACCCAATCGCTGCGCCCCCGCGCCCGGCAGGCCCCGCCCCGCCGCCGAGTCCCCTCCTTTTAATCATCAGTAAGTGGTTTTGTTACAGTGCAGCCAGGGGCAGAACAAAGACCTGACAAAGGACAAGAAGAAAAAACCGTGCCTGGCTGCTGATCAAGTTCTCTGATGGGCTCTGCCTCTTTGATAATGAAATCTGGAGACCCAGGCACATAGGCAGAGAGAGGGGGGGGGGGAAACTCCGCTTATCTATGCATGCACATAAGCCACAAACGCTGTACAAATACCCTGCAACCCTGAGCAGCAGGAGGGGAGCCTGACTTAGTAAGAGCAGTTCTCTGGTAGGAAGACACTCACTATCTGCCTTTAATTTGCAGACAATTTTTAAGTAAGATTTTTATGTTCAGACTTAATCATATTGGCAGGTTTTGAGCCAGGTCTTAGGCAAATGCGTGTGCATTATTTCGTTTGGTTCTCACAGCAGAGCCCTGGGAGAGAGACTATTAGGTCGATTTTTACGCATAAGGAATCTTGAGGCCCAGGGAAGTCTCTATCTCATCAACCAAGCCCACAAGTACCCGGCTGAATGTGAACCGCGATATATCGTTAAAGAATGCAACGAAGAGCTCGGCTAAGAAACGGCTCTGTGAAAAACGTGTATTTGGGAAGTTTTTGGCAGATGGGGAGAGGATATTTCAGTGGTCATAGATTTATGAAGTGGTGTGAGGATAGCCCTGGAGTTAGGATTAAAGGACTGAAAAGAAATAAAGTGGTGAGATTCCCTGTGTCAGACAGGTGTTATCCCTCAACAAATCAAATTCGGAGTTCTTGAGAATGGAGGCTCAAGGACTTTAAATCAGTCACTAGATGCATCATCCATCGACAAGGGGAAGGGACCTCTGTGCATACCGAGAAGGCAGAGCCATTCGAGAGGCATCTGGCTGTGCAAAATGACCATAAAGTGATAGCCAGTTGAGTTGTGAACGCCAACGTGGGAGTTTCTAGGCTGAAGTCAAGGATCAGTCTTAGCCCAGGGTCAGTCTGCGTGGAGCTAAGATCCTAGAATGGGTTCTTCCTCCTGAGGACTTGTCCTTTCCTCTTTTTCAGACACCAGAGGAGACTGGGTGACTTCCATTTCTCAATGGTGGACTGAGCCCATGTGTTTATGTTTTCTCTTCCCCCAACCTCATGACAATGACACAGAATACAAAAAGTAAGACTAAGTTTAGAGCATATTGCACTCTTAATCACAAGTAAATAAAGTAAATAATTTATTTCCTCTCCATTAGACCCTAATTTCCACAGGGGCAGTGCTTCTGGAAGCATTTAGGAAAATAACATACCTCACACTTTCCCAAAACACTAAACCCAAGGAAACAGTGTGGTAACATCTATAGAGCTTTGAAGGAAGTGGGATGTGACCAAAAATAGCCTAAGCTTTCATTTAGGCTTGTGTAAGCAAAAGAAACATATTCCCATATACAAGGAAACATGCTACTCAAATACCTTCATTAACTGAGCATATCCAGGGGAGACATGTGGAGAAACAGATGAGATAAAGAGGAGGCCCTGCTGAGCCGCAGGATGAGATAAGCCAAGAACACGAATGGCAGAGGGTGAGCAGAAGCCCAGGTCTGCTGGCACCACTCCTATTTGTCCTTTCCTCATGTTAATGGTATTAAAATCTACAACAAATTAAATAAGCAGTAATTGGAGGCAGACCAACTCATCCAACTAGTTCTCCCGGGGTTTGGGGAGGGATTTGGGAGGTGTTTTGTGCAATGAATGGGTGAACAGCCAAAAGCAGAAAGGGATGAACTTGGTTTGTAAATCAGCAGTATCACCAAACCTGCAGTCATGTGGGCTTCTTGGGGCTGGCAGACCTGTTGTCTCACCTGCTGATGTGGTTAATGTAAAGAAAGCAGCCGTTGTTGCCTCCCCTCTTCTTTCTGATCTCCTTCACTATTTAGGAGAAAACACCAGGATTAGGAAAGAGCTCCTTTTCTAGGAGTGGGATGTTGAGGAACCGCTTGGCTCACTTAGCTTCCCTTTATTCTTGCTGCCACCAAGGAGTCTGGCCCACCCAGAGGGCAGAGGCTGCACAGGAGAGACAACAACATAGCAGTCAGAAAATATGCTATTTGGAGGAAAATGAAGTCAGGGCCTTGTTGGGCATCACATACAAAATCTAATTCCAGATAGGTTAAAGAGCTAATTATAAGAAGAAGAATACAACAAGATACTGGGGAAAAATATGGGCTTGTATTGCTCTCATCTTTGGATAGAGAAAATCTTCGTAAGCAAAAAAGTAACAGTAAAAATCATAATGGGAAGCTCAGTACCTATGGCTACAGAAAAATTTTAAATTTGGTGTACTAAAAACAGCACTGAAAGAAATTTAAAGAAAATTACAAAAAGAGAAAAAATATCTGCATCATATGTAAAACCAAGAACTAAGATCATTGATTTATAAAACAATTTTACAAGTTAATAAGAACAAACAACACTATAGGAAAAGAGGCAAATGATATGAATAAACATACAAGATCAGAAAAATAAATGCAAATCACCAATATACTTATAAAAAATATTCACACTCACTAGTAATCAAAGAAATTAAATTGAAACAATTAGATACCATTTTTTTCAGTATTTTAGAAAAGATTGAAATATATGATATTATGTTATGGTGGCAAGGTTACCATCAACTGGATACTCTCTCTTCCTGCTAGTGTTATATCCTTTCCAGAAGATAATTTGGTAATAGATGACAGTATTCCTAAGAATGTGCATCTCCTTTGACTCAGTATTCCTATTCCTGAGTGTTTATTCTAAGGAAACAATCAGGAAATTAAAAAAAAAGAAGAAGAAGAATGAGGAGGAGGAGGAGGAGGAGGAGGAAGAAGAAGGAAGAAGAAAGAAGAAGAAGAAGAAGAAGGAGGAGGAGGAGGAGGAGGAAGAAGGGAGGGGGAGAGAGAGAGAGAGGGACCTCAGCCCACAAATATTTCCAAAGGCAAATAGTGTACGCGTAGAGATGCCACG